CACACACCACACACACACACCACACACACCACACACACACACCACACACATATCACACCACACACACCACACACACACACACCACACATATCACACACACACCACACACACACACCACACACATATCACACACACCACACACACCACACACACACATATCCTTTGTACAGACATCACCTTACCCTCACCTAGCCACATTATCCACATCCAGAGCCATCCGCCATTTCAATACCATGTGTATCCCAAGAGTAGTTCCATGAGTAGGTTCCCTATGACAAACAGCCACCCTGAAGCACCTGTCTTCATTCACACACTAGGACTGTGGGTCAGATGGGAACAGGTGCTGGGAGCTAGAGGCAGAAATAAGAATCTCAAGAAAACAGCAGAGATCAACTTTGCCTGCTCTGGTCTTGCTTATTCGTATAATTGGTATATTCTTCAAACTTAAAGCAATGAACTTAGGCCTTTAGATGAATGAATAATGAGAAAATAGAGTAGCTAACCTATAATCCCAGAATTCAGGAGGTGGAGACAGAAGGATCACTGTGAGTTCAAGGGCAGCCTAGGCTTTAGGGAGAATTTGAGGACAGCCTGGGCTACACGCCATACTGTCAAAGAGAGACAGAGAGACAGAGAGAGAGGGAGGGAGGGAGGGGGAGGGAGAGAGAGAGAGAGAGAGACAGACAGACAGACAGACAGACAGACAAAGAAAGAGTTGCCACAATAATAATTACAATTCTGGTGGAAGATTTATACATGTAAGCATGTGCAGTACATGTGAATATGTATACATGAATATATACACATATACACATAAATCATGGAAATCTTCAAAATATGTGTGAAAAGAGGGAAAGTGGTCTACCAAGAATTTTTAAAATTACATAATCTAGACTTCTTTTTCAGGAGGAGATGCTCAGACAACATCTTTAAGCAATTATGAAGAAGATACCTTTGTAAGCAGTTCTTATGGATTTTTAAAGACATAAGAATTTGAAGCTTTACAAGAGCCAAGAAATTAGATATTTCTAATTAAAATGGTTTGAGGGGCTGAGGAGATGGTTCAATCATCATAAAGGGCTTGCAGTATAGGAGTGGATCCCCGGCATCCTCGGAAAGAGCAGAGCAGTGCATGTCTATAATCCCAGCCCTGGGGAGGTGGAAACAGAGGATCCTTGGGGCTTACTGCCCAGCTACTCTTGCTGAATCAGGGAGCTCCAGGTACAGCGAGAGACCATGTCTCAAAAACTAAGGTGAAGAGGAATAGAAAACATTTCTTGTTGACCTCTAGCCTTCACACACACGTACACACAAACATATACCCAACCATAAACATGCATGTACATACAAACACATACAGCTTATGCACACACATAAATGTGAAATTTCAGAAATATATGATGTTTTAGTTTGGAGTATAAGTTTTATCTGTGAATGCATAAGTTCAAGATCCTGATAAGGTTATGAAAAACTGAATGCCTAGGCTGGGTTGGGACAGCATACAAGTTTAAAGTAGTCTGAGTACTTGGATTCATTTACAGTCAGAATTCATTACTGTGCAAACTGAAATACCAAAATAGCCAGGGCAAAGAAAGAGCTGGTTGACTAGATGCCTTGTTAATAAAGGCACGTTATTTATTTGATATTTGCTTAGTTTTGCCAAACATCACTCATGTTTGTAGCAATATTACATTTCGGGAAAGCTATTTTTAAAATAGATTACAAAATTCTAAAAAAGAAACACTATTTGACACTTAAAAGTGGAGAATGTAAATTTAAAAATTAAGAGTCCACTAAAAATTAAGAATCTACTTCAAGAATAGATTGTACAGAATTGGGGAGTAAGTCAGTAAAGCACTTGCTATGTGAGCACAAGGACCTAGGTTTGAGCCCCAAAACCCATGTAAAAAAATCCCTGGCATGGTGACTCAAGGCTTGTAACCCCAGAGGTGGGAGGTGGAAACACGTGGCCCTGGGGCTCCCTAGCCAGCCAACATAGCCTACTGGGTCAGTTCCAGGACAAGGACAGACCCTGTCTCAACAAACAAACAAACAAACAAACAAACAACAAAAAACCATGGACAATATCTGAGGAGCAGCATCTGAGGTTGTCTGCTGACCGCCACATACCCAGCACCCAGATACACACTTACCTGCATACACGTGTGATTGCATAAATGCAAACACAAATACATTATGCAAGTCCATTGAAAAAGACAAGGGCAGTACCACAAAAAACCATTCATACATACCCACACCCAGAGGCCACCTTTGCTTTTCTTCAAGGGAAAAAACCAGAGAACCACTCTCTCCTTTATTTCAGACATAAAGCAAATGTTTACAGAACACAAAGTTAAAGAAAGTAAAGTATCAGTGTTTATAAAGTTAACTCTCTGTGCTGTACCAGCACCTTTATTTTCTTTATTTTCTTTTTTTTGTAAGACAAAAATATAGACACAAGACCAAAATATTCATATTTTATGAGAGTATATTAGAAAACACTTTCTCTTTCTGTCCTGGCCCCACATTCCCTACCCCCATAGGATCCATCTCTTCAAACTGTTATCTGAGCATTAAAATAAATGTATTTATACAGAGAGAGAGAGAGAGAGACAGAGAGAGAGACAGAGAGAGAGAGAGAGATCACAGAGGTAGTGGTCAGGACCTGTTTCATTATTACTCATGTGGTGTGCTGCCCAGTACTTTCCTGTTTTCACATAATTACATGTCATCAAAATCATTCTGACATATCCCCACAGCTGCCTGGCTCACGCGGCATTGGAAACCTTTCTAATCATTCCCTGTTAAACATTACAGCGTTTCCTTCTGTAACTGCTGACTACTATCCTGCAGTTAATATTCTTATCTTTGCGCATGTCAAAATAATATGTGACAGATTCCGAAAAGATGCACACCTGCATCAAAGGACTGTGCATTTAAAATCCTGGTGGAGAATCCGAATTGTCCTCCATAGCCGCGGCATCAGTTCCCACCTTTCCCTTAGAATCCAGTTATCGTATTGCTACTCTCTGTGTGGAGGAGCCTCGAGACTGTCTCTACATCTCAAGCTGGTGGCAGTATCTGGATGGAACTGGCTTTGAATTGTCCTCCATAGCTGCGGCATCAGTTCCCACCTTTCCCTTAGAATCCAGTTATCGTATTGCTAACTCTCTGTGTGGAGGAGCCTTGAGACTGTCTCTACATCTCAAGCTGGTGGCAGTATCTGGATGGAACTGGCTTTGGTTCAGGAATCGTGTTCAAAGGAATGAAACACAGGGGACAAAGGAAGTGAAGTTTAGGATTATGCAGTATAATACAGAATAAATGAATGTAATAAAAGAACAGACTTGGAAAAATCAGGTAAGATGACTAGAAAAAGGCACACACTATACATCATAAGCAATAGTCTCAAATATATCTAAACTAACTGGGACAAGTCTTACCCTTCCTGCTTAGAGGGGAAAACCGAGTCTTAGGTTACAACAGATGAGTTATTGGAAGAGTCAACATCAAGGGTGTCCCGTTCCTTGGCCCTGGTAGTAGACGGTGATTTTCTATTTTCACTTATTTTGAAAAGATCTATGACAATCAAGATCAAAATTGAATTGGGTGGATCTAAATCAGTTCAGTGGTCTGAAGGCTAATCTGAGCGACAGGCAGTCCTTATTGGACTTCCCTGAAGCCTCTGAAGTTGGATTCAGTAACTTAGACTCTTCAGCGAGGGAGAGAAGAAAGAGGACTTGTTACAGAGTGAGCTAAACTTATCTTTCTTCCGAGCTAACAATGTCCAAATGGAGTCTTATATTCCTTGGTTAATCTTGAAATGGCTCAGCTATTTCTTTTATGTTTCAAATAAAACAAATTTAAGAAAGGGCTATGGTAGTTATAAAGGCATCTCTAATACCTAGGCAATTCTATAAACAACTTTGACCATAAAGTATTACAGAAACTTTTGCTGGGTGTGGTGGTGCACGCCTTTAGGCCTAGCACCTTTAGGCCTAGGGAGGCAGAGGCAGGTGGATCTCTGTGGGCTCGAGGCCAGCCTGGTCTACACAGGTAAGATCCTGTTTCAAAAACAAAACTAAAACAATGAAATAACCCCGGAGTTTGTTTTATGTAAAAGTCTATTTTACAGACAAGAAAGCTGAGCCCTAGAGATAGACTAGCTTAAACAAATAAAAAAATCATACATTTCAATAAATCATATATTCAACAACATCCATGTCCCGGGGCGGAGTAAATTAGCATACTTACCCCAGATACATACTGCACAGAAAAGAGAATAAGTATAAGCGGCCTGCAAAAAAGCAAAACTTTAGACAAATTTAAAGTGTTGATTTTCACTGAGACAATCTAAAAAGAGTAACAGTGCTAATTCCAGAAAGGCCCTTATTTCTGATAGGCTGGTTCTCGGCAGCCAATGACAAAGTCAGTGTCATCTTCTCTCTGGCTGGCATCGTCACCTCTCCTCCTTTTAATCAGTCAAGGAAGGCACATCGAAGGCCCTTGGTGTGATTCTCATGGTGGTGGAGACCATAGGGACCCTGTGAGCGTGATGCTGAGACCTGAATGGACCACTTGAGCCTTCTTCCTCTACTCTGTAGTCCTTTCTCTTGGCCTAATACAAATGCTGTAGACATTGGCCAAGCAGTGTATCTGGCTGTGGTCCAGACTAGGGAATGGGAAGCTCCAAAGGTCTAGCCTTTGTCTTCTGACTTCCACCTGAAACTGCCCTTCTCCCAATCATTCCATTGAAATTCATAGTCATTGAAATAAAGACCAGATTAACATTTTAATGTACTATGTAAATAAAGAGAAAATGGCAAATGATTGTAGGTGTTAAACACTGGGACAAACCATTTTAAATTAGTTTGAGATTGTGTTTACAACTACTGCCTGTTAAATGAGTTCTTATCACTTGAAACATTGTAAATTGGGTCTTTCACCCTGTGGTCCCCGGGGCTCTGGTTCATGTCAAGGCTGAATCCACTTCCTCCCTCTACACCCTGTACTCAGCTCCATCTTCCCATTGAGTTAGATACTAAAACATATGATTCTTTTTTTTTCTTTTAAAATGCATCTACATTTAAGACACCTCTGCTGTTCCCTCAGTATGCACTCCATATTGCATTTCTAAAATGCAACCTCTTCCCACCACCTATTTAGTGGCCTTACCTTCCAACACCTCTTCGAGTCACGTCTAATAATCTCATATGATTCTTTAAAACTTTGATGCGCCTATATATTTACTTAGTGAGTGTATGTGTGCATGTCCCATGGCATACATGGGGGTCAGAGGACAACTTTCAGGAGTTGGTTTTTTCCTTCTACCATGTGGGCACTGGGGATGGAACTCAGGTCGTCAGGCTTGGAGGCCCGTGCCTTCACTTGAGTCCCCTCTCCTCCCCTCGTACTAGCTTCTGGGATGGTTAATCTTCACCGTCAACTTCAATAGATTTGAGATTACCTAGAAGACACACCTCTGGGTATGTCTGCCAGGGTGTTTTCAAGAGGTTTAACTGAGGAAGGAAGACGCACCTCAGTGTGGATGGTCTGATTCCATAAACTGTGGTCCCAGACTAAATGAGAAGGGAAAAGGGGAGTGGCCAGCTGCCCCAGCATTCCTGCTTCCTGACTCAATGTGACAAGTCCCCTCCTGCTCCCGTGGCATGCCTTCTGCATTATGATGGGCTGTATCCTCTCAAGCCATGAGCCAAAATAAACCCTTCCTCCTTTAAGTTGTTTTTGTTAGGTATTTTGTCACAGCAACCAGACAAGTAACCAATACAGCTTCCTAACAAACTGCCACAAAGTTGGTGTCTTAAAACAACACAGATTTGTATTTAAATCTTACAGTTCTGGAGGTAAGAAGTTCATCATGGATCTCATTGCTGAAAATCAAGGTATTTGGGAGCTGTGTTCCTAAACATGGGGGAGAGTCTGATTCCTCGCTTCTCCCCGATTCTAGAGGTAGCTATCCATATTCCTTGGTTTTCGGTTTCTTCCGTCTTCAAAGATAGAAGTGACTGGCTTTGTCTTTCTGTCGCTGTATCCCTCTGACCACTGCTTCTACAGTTATATCTCCTTCACCGATGCTGGCCCCCTGCCTCTCCTTTTCACTTCTAAGGATCCTTGTGGTGATACTGGACCCACCCAGATGCTCCAGGATCCTCTCTCCCATCTCAAGATCATCTGATTGACACACCACCTGAACTCCACCTACAACTTAAACTCTCCTTCTCTTGAAAAATAATGTATTGACAGATTAGGCTGGAGATACCTTTGGGGTCCAAAACCTGCCTACTGCATTCATGAAAGTGCTTTGCCCTCACTCAGCTAGTTCCAAGAACCCTGAAGCTCTGGACATTGAACACTTTTGCCATTCAAACCTAGTGAGTGAACCCACGGTCTTCAGCTGCACAGCTTCCCATTTGATCACTATGAACACCTTTTGAGGAGGGTAGAGAACTTGGTGCTCTGTAATCAGAACGAGTCATGAATGGCAGGAGAAATTATTCCACAAAAACAGGCAACCACACTGAGACTACTTACCAGGAGTCTGTAACCAAGGGCTTGGTCCATCTGAAAAAGCACTTCATGAAGACCTTGAGCACAGGTGACCTCACAGATGACCTCTGCACTTAAAATATGCCTCCAGACTTCTCCTCCAGAAAATCCTTGTTGGTAGTTCAGAGTTGGCGTCCTTGGTTAGAGTCTAAATATGAGAAATATGCAAAGATGTCTGTTAAAATACAGTGTGTTCATAATGCTGAGAATAATTACTTTCATTATTCACTTAGCAACAGAAACATTAAAAGAGAGCTCCAAAAGCTTATATATATAGCAAGCTTTTCTTAGTGCTTGTCATACTAAATAAAGATCCTTACAAATAAAAAATATTCTGGGGGGGGTATATAAAGGTACCGTGGGAAAGGGAGGGAAGGGAAATGAGGTGGTGAACCATGGGGAGGTGCTGGGCAGGGTCAAGAATGGACCAGGATGAAGTAGGTACAAAAATGCCAGGAAACCAGTTACTTTGTAACAAATAAAAATAAAAACATTCTCAAGTCCTTCATATTTAATAAATATATACAAAAGGGAGAGAATTGAAAACACATTTTTACAATGTGCTGATACACAAATATTCATAAGAGCCCAAGAAAGAACAAACTAAACAACCATTAAGTAATAAATAAACAAAATGTGATGTATCAGGCAGTGGCGTATTCTTTAATCATACCAAAGACCAACATATGTGATATATCAATTAACAAAAGAACCACAGCTGGTCAAAATGCAAAACATAAGACTGTGGCATACACAGCTCTAAATGGGAAGCTTTATCACATTCCCGTCTGACTCCCAAATGGCTAGTTCCTCCAAGGGGCGGGGCCTGCCACTCGGCATGGACTACTGAGGGGTGACAGGGAGCCATCTTGGGACTGAAGCTAGCAGCAGAGAGATGGCCTCAGTGCCTCACCTGCATGGACGGGAGAGGCATTTACCGGACCTGGGATGAGACTTGCGGGTGAAAGTTAATGGAGATATGGGTGGGGTGCGGGAGCATCTGGTGGCAGGCTCTGAGCTGTATGTAAGAGTGCTTGTCTCTGTATAAGTTCCCCCATTTAACCCTTCCCTACCCGAGGGCATAAACCATAATAAACTCACATAAAGATATGTTATATGGTTTGCTTGATAGCACAGGAGATCCAGGAGAGAATTCGGGTGACACCCTCTATGGCTTAGGGATCATTGTGGTAGAGGGGGCGGAAAGATTGGAAGAGCCAGAAGTAGGGGACATCTGCATTGAAACAGTATTGTTGGGTATGACAGTACACATGAACTTACCGTGGCTGTGACTGCACCCACAAGACCTGTGTGGGATCAAGCCAGCTGAAACCCCAACATGGACAGATCAGGAGCTCATGACTGCCCACCTAGTCCAGGAATTATTGGCAATTGATGACTGCTAGGGGAGGTAGAGTCAGCTTTCTTCAAAGATGTGCAGCCTCTGAAAGACTACCCAGTTGATACATGTACATGCAGGAAGCACAAGTAGACCCAGTGAAAGAGAGAGAGAGAGAGAGAGAGAGACCCTTGAAGTTGATAGGGGAAAGTGGTGGAGGGATACAAGCGGAATTGGAGTTATATTTGATTGAAACACAGTCTTTATATGCATGAAATTCTCAATAAAATACTAATAAAAAAGAAATATATATTGATATGTCCTGCAACATGGGTGAACCTTGAAAACATTATAGTGAGTGAAAAAAGCACATCTGCTTTTTATACACTTGGGATTTCTGTACACGAAATGTCCACAGTGGGCTAATCCATAGAAACAGAAAAAGCAGTTGTCAGGGATGGGGGTGAGGGGACAAAAATAATTGAGAAATGAGGGATTACTTTGGTGGAGGGTGGGGGGTGACAGAAATGCTCTAGAATTAGTCAAGGGTTATGGTGCAGAGTCATGAATAGATCTAGAACTACTCAATTGTAAACTTTATAAAATTTAAATGGTGAACCTTTCGAATTTTGTATCAGGAAGCAAGAGAAAGCATATTTTCAAACTTGACCCAAATGACTCTTTACTTGGGTCTAAAATCTCTTTGGCTCAAAGAATTGAGATGTCTCATTTTGAAGATGTTGGCTTCTGATAACACCTGTCCTTATGGGAACTGGCAGAGAGAAGGAAGTCAGGAGTGGCCAATGTTGCAAGCTATTTTTAAATTTCTGGATAAAAGCTTACTAAATTAATTCAATACTGTATTTATTGAAGACTACTTTTCCCAGTGAGTGGCAGAACCACATTCCATAACAGAATTTCAAAACCACACAGAAACCACACAGAAGCACCATTCTAACCCGATCTTTTCCATCCCTAAACTCATAATTTAAATAACTTTTATTTTAAAGTTACATTTTAGAAGCAAATATTAATAATGTAAATCACTGTTTTGGAAAGAAAACACAAATTGGTGTGAATCATTTAAATTGAACTCAATATTTTAAACAAATCAAAAAGAGTCCAAAATTATGGAAAACCAGAGATATTTACATATGAGTTAAAAAACTAATTGGTGCAATTAATCTCCACACTTCTCTAGGCATGCTGTGGGGAAGGGTGGACAGACGAACACTATTAAAGTCTATCCACTGTCCTAACGTCTAGGAGCTTCTATATACTAGGATGGATGGATGGATGGATGGATGGATGGATGGGTGGATGGGTGGTGGATGGATGGATGGACGGATGGATGGATGGGTGGATGGATGGGTGGGTGGATGGGTGGTGGATGGATGGATGGATGGATGATAGAGGGGCCAATCTGCAGAAACCCAGTTGGTCTCTCGGTTTTGTTAGTCAAAGACAACGAAAGGGTATTGCTAGATTAGGTGTATAGTGATGCATTCTCAGTACCATGTTACCATTTAAACTGTATGACAACGGGGATTTCTGTCTTCTTTTTTCATTCTGGGAAAACTAGATTGACCATGGTACTGCAATTTCTCCATATATATTTGCTGGGTGAAGTGACTCATAGAAGATACTTTGTGGCCTTAAGAATAGGAATCAAATGTACTCAATAGGGAGGCTGTGAATGGCTATGAAAGAAGCTAACTTTGAACACAACGAGGGCATGGAGGAGAGTGAGAGGGATGCTTGGAGCTCTCATAATAATCTTGGGAGACGTGACAGGAGGCCAACACTTACTTTTGTAGAAGCCTCTTCTGAATGTCACCCATATCAAGCCATTTAACTCTCACTATGATTTAGAAAAACTACTTCCACTATATAGGAAAACCAAAGGGGGTGAATTTGAGTATGTGAACAGTCAGAACTACTGAGCTGCAAAATCTTGGCTTTCCTCTGTGGTATGTATTCCTTCTTCCAGTGACACTCCCCGACCCCCAGCTCACCAATCTCCAGATTTTCAGCTCTTAAAAGAATTTTTTGAAACTACACAACCTACCCCTACTTTTTACCCTTAACATTTAAAAGTGTTGATCTCCTTTTTGAATATTTTATTTATTTTTACTTTATGTGTATGAGTGTATTGCCTGCTTGTGTGTAAGTGTATCCATGTCATGCAGATGCCCTTGGAGGTCAGAAGACAGTGTCAGTTACAGATGGTTGTTAGCTGCCATGTGGGTGCTGGGATTTGAACCTAGGCCCTCATCTCCTTTTTAAATAGTTGTGAAGCAGATTATTCTGGAGTATCATAAATGGTAACCTTTAAAATAAAACTGTTACAGCATCATTTCAGAAACAGCCAGTCGTAATGCCACCAAAATCTGATTTTTGCCACCAGCAGGTAAAAATGTTGCAGGTGCATTCTAAAACAGGAATTTTACATTGCCCATTTTTCATTATGAATTCATATTTCTATTCCATCCTCCCCATATATACTTTGTTGCTTGCATGTGTGTGTGGGGGGGTGCATGTACATGTACGTGTAAAAATTAGAAGTCTAAGTCAGGTGTTGTTCCTGGGGAACCACTTACTTTGTTTATTGAGGCAGGGTCTCTCACTGGCCTGCAGTTCAACAAGTAGATGAGACTGGCTGGCCATTGAACCCCAGTGATATTTAGAGTGGCCTGGGGTAGGGGAATAAGCTTTACTTTTAAAAATAATAAGAAGGAAAAGTGTGAAATAGGAAGTGAGATCCTTGATCAGAGACAGAACGATTCTATGGATAAATACATGCTACAGCTGAGAATCTAGAAATTGACTCTTTTTATTTATTTTCCATAAAATTATTTACATAACTCTTGAGTTTTTTGGCTTTCTAAGAATATGTGTAGCACAATTTGAAGACCTGTTCTAAGCAGCTGCCCAAAGGTCATGTTCACTGTCTCACCAGGAGCAGATCAGCCCACAGAACCTGCCACATGGGAGTCAGGGATTTTTCTTCCTACCTGTGAGGCAGCACAGCCCCAACCTCACTATCAGCTCAGCATTGTAAACAGCCACACACATGTGCTCTGTAGTTGGTTCATGAAACATGACCATACATGGTATATATGATCATCTATGAGGAGTTTCTTTGTTTCAGTACCCTGTGTTAAGCACATTAAAATGTTTGCTTGAGGGGCTGGCACGATGGCTCATTGGTTAAAGGGCTTGCCATGTGTCCTGATTAGTTTTAAATGTCAACTTGTTACAACCTAGAATCACCTGGGAAACAGTCTTAATGAGGAATTATGTAGAGGAGGTTGGCCTGAGGTCACGCCCATGTGGGATTCTCTTGATTACTGAGGTGGGAGGACCCACCTGCATGTGGCACTACGGTTTCTTGGGCTGGGCCCTGAAATGTGTAAGGATGAAGAAAGCTAGCTGAGCATAAGCAGCACGCAAGGACATGTATACTCTCTCTTTGTTCTTGACTGTGGATGTGATGTGTCTAGCTGCTTGAGTCCCTGTCCCTACTTCCCTCCATGATGGACTGTAGCCTGGAATTTTAAGCCGAATCAAATAAATCTCTAACTCCTAAGTTGTTTTGGTCAGAGTATTTTATTACAACAGAAATGAAACTAAGACACCACGCAAATAGGAAGATCAGAGTTCAGATCCCAAGAAACCTATGTAAACCCACATAAACACTAGGTGGGTGTGGTGGCCCACCTGTAATCCCAGCCTCAGAATGTGAAGACAGGGGATCCCCAGAGAAAGCTGGCTAGCAAGACTGGGCATGTCAGTGAGCTCTGGGTTTG